CCACTTCTTTCATTTGTCTCCCAGTTCTTTTCATTTTTGGTCTCCCAAGCTGGGTGCTTGTGGTCGGGTTCCCGGCTGGCTTGTCTCGCACTTCCTTTCATTTGTCTCCTACTTCTTTTCACTTGTCTCCTTTCCTTTCATTTGTCTCCCAGGCTCGGTGCTTGTGGTCGGGTTCCCGGCCGGCTTGTCTCCCACTTCCTTTCCCACTTCTTTTCATTTGTCTCCCAGTTCTTTTCATTGTCTCTCAGGCTGGGTGCTTGTGGTCGCGGGTTTGCGGCTGGCTTGTCTCCCACTTCCTTTCATTTGTCTCCCACTTCCTTTCATTTGTCTCCCACTTCTTTTCATTTGTCTCCCACTTCTTATCATTTGTCTCCCAGGCTGGGTGCTTGTGGTCGGGTTTCCGGCTGGCTTGTCTCCCACTTCCTTTCATATGTCTCCCACTTCTTTTCATTTGTCTCCCTGGGTGCTTGTGGTCGGGTTTGCGGCTGGCTTGTCTCCCACGTGCTTTCATTTGTCTCCCACTTCTTTCATTTGCCTCCCAGTTCTTTTCATTTGTCTCCCACTTCTTTTCATTCCCCAAACAGTTTACTGATGGTCTGGTCGGGTTCCCAGCCGGCTTGTCTCCCACTTCCTTTGTCTCCCAGTTCTTTTCAGTCGGGGTCCCGCTGGCTTGTCTCCCACTTCCTTTCATTTGCCTCCCAATTCTTTTCATTTGTTTCCCAGGCCACTTCCTTTCATTTGCCTCCCACTTCTTTTCATTGTCTCCCAGGCTGGGTGCTTGTGGTCGGGTTCCGGGCCGGCTTGTCTCCCACTTCGTTTCATTTGTCTCCCACTTCTTTTCATTTGTCTCCCAGGCTGGGTGCTTGTGGTCGGGTTTCCGGCCAGCTTGTCTCCCACTTCCTTTCATTTGTCTCCCACTTCTTTTCTGCTTGTGGTCGGGTTCCCGGCCGGCTTGTCTCCCACTTCCTCTTATTTGTCTCCCACTTCTTTTCATTTGTCACCAACTTCTTTTCATTTGTCTCCCAGGCTGGGTGCTTGTGGTCGGGTTCCCGCCCTACACTTGCTTTCATTTCTCTCCCGGTTCTTTTCATTTATCTCCCAGAAATGCTTGTGGTCGGGTTCCCGGCCCGCTTGTCTCCCACTTGCTTTCATTTGTCTCCCGGTTCTTTTCATTTATCTCCCAGAAATGCTTCATTTGTCTCCCAGGTCCGTCACTGCTGGTGCCATGTAGCATTTCTATTCATTTGTCCTTGTCACTGCTAATTTCCGCCCTTTTCCGCTGGCCATGCAGCATTTCTATTCATTTGTCTCCCAGGTCTGTCACTGTTGGTGTCCGCCCTTTTCCGTTGGCCATGTAGCATTTCTATTCATTTGTGTTCCAGGTCTGTCACTGCCAGTGTTTTGTCTCCCAGGTCTGTCACTGCTGGTGTCCGCCCTTTTCGTCGGCCATGCAGCATTTCTATTCATTAGTCTCCCAGGTCTGTCACTGTTGGTATCCGCCCTTTTCCGCTGGGCATGCAGCATTTCTATTAATTTGTTTCCCGGGTCTGTCACTGGTGCTGCCGCCCTTTTCCGCTGGCCATGTAGCATTTCTATTCATTTGTCTCCCATGTGATTTCTTTCTTTTTGTCTTTCAGGTTTGGTGCCTGCACTGCTGTTTTCTGCCCTGTCCGCTGGAACAGGTTCGCCTGTGAAAGGTTCTTGCTCCTTTGCAAGGGGTGCGTGACTGTCTCCGGGATTGCATTCCTGCCACACTGTGTAACTCTCTCAGCTTTGTTTTCCTTCTCGGGCAACCGTTGGATGAATGACCGGATTGGATTTCGGCGGCGTGGCAGCGATCTCTCTATTCAGTTGGGGCGGAGGGCATATGTCAGGCACCAAAAATCAATTTCATGTCACATCCTTCGCTCCTCATGCTTTTGTTTCTTGTCCTCACGTGGTCAGCTCCCCGCTGACTGAGCAGCATGACCAGCATCATGTTCGCGCTTAAAGAATAATTCCCCAAAAGGTTTACTGTTAGGGCTTCTCACTTCTTTCTTAAGATGTGTCCCCCCGCTCTGTATTGCTGTGTCCGTCTCTGCCTTGCAATCCTTTACATTTATCTCCCAGCTCTGGACGTCGCAAGCTCTAGTTTCGATTTTGAAAAACACAAACTGTTTGGGGTCTACGGTGGCGTAATGTTCCTGTTGTTTGCACGAGGGTTCTATGCGGCAGCAGTTATATAACAGCAAATTGAGGACACCGTTCATGTTCTACTTTACTGTTTTAATTAATGTGTTCTGTAGCACGATTCATTCCCACTTCGGGCCGATCCAAACAAAACCTCCGAAAACATGAGTTTTCTCAGCCATAGCACAGTTTCTGAAGAGGTTCAACCCTGTTTCTTGGCCTTTGAGGCAGCTTCACGCCAATCAGTCACGGCGTCGTAAAGCCATGCGTCCATTGTTTCCAGTTATATCAGTTCCACCTAAATGCTTGAACTTTGATCGACTTTCCTTCCCATTCACTGGCCTTGCAACAAGTGTGTTAACACAGCACGCTCACTTCAAGGCGAAGTAACAACAATTATCTTTGGATCACGCGCGCTCCGCAACCAGAAACTCCGCGACCAACTGCTTGCTAGTAGGGCCGCGGAAAAAAAACGAACAACATCGCCCAACCGTCGCAAAAAAACAACAACCGACGCAAACACACACCCGTTAATGGTAGGAAAACACCGAATTGGTGGTGATGGTGGTGGTGGTGTTGGTCTGCACTTCAAGGTCCACAAAGTGCTGCACCTGCAAGCTGCAATGTCCACAATATTCTGCGCCTGCCACGAAATTTCCTCGTCAAGGTCCACAAAGTACTGTGCCTGCCACGACACCTGCACATCAAGATTTACATCGCGCAGCCCTGCCGAAGCGATTTGCAACAAACACTTTCCAAGGCACCATTAAGATGCTAAAACGTAGTTCTCGCTCGAGACCTCCTCCGATTTCCACATGTCCAAAAAGTATGAAACATGCAGATTCACAGTGCCTGTCACGAAATCAGCTCACGCCGAAGACCACCACCATGTCCAAAGTACTGCACCTGGTGCTTGCCAACTCGGCTGTGCAAGTTATGCAGAGCCTTCATGGCAATGGGCCCATTATTTTTTTTCGAATGCGTCGTTTGTCGTCGTCGTGTTGTGCGCTGAGTCCCGTAATTTGTCTCTGCGAGTGGATCTTAATCAGCGAAGTTTGAAGCTATCACTGACGGTCCATAAGCGGCATAGCGTCGGAACGGAAACCGCACCTTTTCTAGTCGCTTGATCCTTGAGCCAAAGTACATATGGTACATATATATGTACAAGTTGCACTGTACGTGTCGCTGCACTTCCATTCGCACCCCCCATGTGAACGGCAACAATATGTTCCGATCACACACGAAAATTTAGGGATGTAAGTGCTATAAAGAAATTGTATGATTTGCCGCGAGACTCATATGAGGCTCATACTACGAAACATGCTGGACTAAAGCGGACTTTTACATATAAAGTGTGCAACTATGGCTCAGAACCTTTGAAAAATCGAATTGAACAAGTGAGACAGTCACGAGGCCTCGCTCAGTATCCACTCAAAAGAGCATCGCTTTGATGTAGATCCGAACTGGTGACTTCCACGTAGATGTCACATTGGCAACTGACTTCACACTCCTCAAAAGATGTAGGTTTTGGTTTGAATACACTTACAGAACGGCAAGTTGGAGAGACAGTCGGTGATTGTCTTCCTTCCATTATGCTCATGGTATCAAATCGTCAATCCGAATTTGCAACGATACACTTATAGCGTTTCAGGTCAGATAAACATCCGGTGAATGATCTCCTCCCTGGTTTGCATGGTATCCTCATAGTCGTTCATAGAAATCACCACTGGTGATAACCTCTCCATCCACGATGATCCCAGCTGCCCTGAGCATCCCACCGATCATCTTCTCCCTTCTTGGACTTTCCCTTGGACTTGCTCTTTCCCTTCCCCTTTTCAGAAGGTTGAGGTACTTCGCGACGTTCTTGCGTTAGCGCCGGCCTCCAAGATGTTCCAGATTGGCCTCCTCCTTTGGAATGTCCTCGGGATGATGAAGAAGTTGTACCTTCTGTTGCATGTGCGTTGGCGGCAAGATCCTCCTGCAAAGCTTGCTCAAACACACCGGTAGCACTGGATGGTGATTTATCATGTGGTCTGGCTTTTGGAGCAGCCTTCGCCTTGTTCTCATCTGCTGATGAGGGCCCGAAACTCTTAGGTGCTGTTGAAGGTTTTGGCTCCTCACTTGGTGCTGACGACGGCTTGGCCTCGGTTCTGGGTGTAGATGCTGGCTTTGCCTCAGCTCTTGACGAAGATGCTGCTTTCGCTTCAGACTTAGTCGTTGATGTTGACTTAGCTGTTGCCTTGGCTGCCTGCTTCTTCTTGCCCTGAATCTCCTTGGCCCTATCTCCAAAGCCTAGACGATTGGTAAGAGCTTGAACATGCTTATGTTCTACCACGCTCATCCATCTCTCTGTATGTCCAACGTTGGGGTTTCTGGCCATTGACTCTATGACTTCCTGAGCTTGTGGGGGCAACCTGATTTCATGTTGATCAATGATCAACAGAATAGACTTCTCCCACTTGCTCTTCATTCTCGAGTACATGATGTCCAGAGGATCGATCACCTTGTGGTAGGGTGATGTAATGTCGGTTCTAAAGTAAGAATATGT